ATAATTTAACCTACCAACATAACTATTAAATATGTGTAAATTATATTAATAATAATGAGTGAGATATACAATATGATTGATGTATTTGATTATACAACAATACATGCAAAACATTATAACTAAATTTTATTTATTTCTAAATATTCTATTTATATAAAATATATAATTTTATTTCTAAATTTTATTTTTTATTAAAAAATAAGGTCCAAATCATATTAAAATGATATCGTTTCTCTGATTATTTTGTAGGTAATTAAAGACAAAATATTACAAAGGACTGTGTTATTACGATATTTACCTCATATCAAACAATATAAATGATTCAATTTATATTCGTTGGTATAAGATTTTTCACTGATCAACAAAATTAGCCAATTATATTTTCGTAAGTGATTAATATAAGAATTAGCAAAAATGAGCATACTTGAGCGCTTTCGTGTTCTCTAGATCTTCTTCAGAGGCTGGCAATCTCTGGTGATGTGTTCTTAGACAAAAAACCTCAGACATTTTATTTTGATTTGTATACGCTCTCTCACACACGCACTCACACACACGCACGCATGCACTCACATATGATGTATATGCAAATACAAAAAGGTACTACCCCTTGTTGACAATGGTTTCCTATAGCCTCGGAAGACAAAAAATCGTATGAACTTTGCAGGTTCCCTCCAACACAGGATTCAATTTTTTCCCTTCGACCACTCATTTTTTGTTAAAAAAATGATTACATTTTAAGGGAACTTCAGGCGTTTCCACTCTTAATCGCCACACTTTGACGCAGAAACAGGAAACTGTCTTCCCCCTCCCCCTCTATTGTGTCCCCGGTAGCATTGATGAGCTTAGACTCACAGTGATGATGCGCTTTATAGGAAGCTCTTAGAACACTCGCTCCAGGGGCAAAGGGGATCTTCGATTCTACTGGGACAAATGTATTCTGAATGTGATGTTCTACACACACAGAGCATTATTACTTCCTATGGTTCTCAGTTTTACCTCATGGCCTTACACTGGAGGAGATATGGGGTATCAACCAGGGAGGATACATGCGAACCCCCACACCAGCGGTCAATACTCCTACTCATGGTTTGTGATCAGATTTGTTACACCTGACTGTCATAGTGTGCATGAGTTGAGGTTGGAGCTGTGGAGCACTGTGCTGTTATGAGGCTCCTTTTGAAATCCGTAGATCAACTATACAAGTCGTTTTAGCTAGTTTACGCCTTGTTGCAAATACGCGTATTCTCAATAGAGGAGAGCGCTGGGCGTGTTGCAGATATGGGTACTGCTAAGACATATTATCTTGCGGGGTCACTCGAGAATCGAGCTGAGAACAAGGTACAGAGATCAGGAGACTTAATCACACCATGCTTGGAATCTTCTTCTAATGGACTTGCCTGTACAAAGAAATGCTGTTCGGAAGTCATTATTAAAAATTGTGTAGATGACAGGGTTAAAGGCAGAGTTGACGTAGCTCAGCCATTGTAAGAAGTCGTAAATCCTCATGTCGATATCTTGGCAAGATGGGCAGAAAGGAAGGAGGACATACATGATTAAGAAGGGAAGCCAGCACCCGACGAAGCACCCCATAATAATGGTGAGAGTCCGCACCAGACGACGCTCCTGGGTCAGGGATATTCTCTGTCTGTCAGCAATGAATTTGCTGATGACGCTGCCGTCAGTCTGTGGGGTCACACCTTCATCCAAATTGCCAGTGGTTGCAGGTGGTTTTTGGTTAGATTCTTCGATGTCAGTGATTGATGTTTCTACTTCAGATTGACGGGCTGTAGGAAAGGGAGTTACACTTCTGCTGACCCTGCCCTCAGGGCCCTGTCCTTCAGAATTGATAAGTGTAACAACTTTTATCTTTCCAATAGCATCTAGCTTTTTTAACTTGGTACCTTGGGCTCTCATTCGCAGTCTCCGCTTGGTAGCCTTGTAGATCTTGATGTATATTATGACTATTAGTACCAGTGGGCAGAAGAATGATCCGACTGCAGAGTAAACGACGTAGTCTGCTTTCTGCGAAAGAAAGCATTGAGACTCCTCAGTGAAGTCGTCCGGCCAGTCATTCCAGCCAAGCAGAGGAGGAAAACTAATGACGAAGCTGATGGCCCACACCAGGATGATCATGATGAGCATGCGCTTAATGGTCCGCTTCTGGGCGTAGTTGACGGGGTCGGTGATGGCCCAGTAGCGGTCGAGGGCGATAGCACACAGGTTGAAAATGGACGCCGTGCAGCACATGGTGATGCTAGTAAGATACATCTCACACAGGTACTTCCCGACTACCCATTTGCCGATGATGATGTAGGCGACGTTGAAGGGCATCACGAACACGGCCATCATCAGATCAGCCACGGCCAGGGACACGATGAAGAAGTTCTGCACCTTCCTCAGCGGCCGGTAAGTGAACACTGACACAATGACAAGAACGTTGCTGAGGATGGTGAAGATGATGATGATAGTGAGAGAAAACCCCGTCACTACCATCTCCCATATGGGTAACATGATTGACAGATCTTTCTCGTCATCGACGTCTGCAGTGTGATTTTTTCCAGACATAATTACGTAGTGAGATTTCAAATAATACTTGAGAATACTGTTGTCGAGACCTTACTCGCTAAGGTCACCCCCTCAAGACGTCTCAGAAAGGTCAGTCTGAAAAAGGGATTAAAACAATTAAACACTTAGGTCAAAGCTTTTTTTATAAAGAAAATTAGTAATTTATATAAATCAAATAAGCTTCAGAATACTCATGAAAATACAGTATAATTAAGTAATTTTTAATTTAACATCATGAAAGCTTTATATAAATTTGCAATTTAACATGCTAACTTATGACCGAAGAGAGGGTAGATAAATTAATGAGTCTATCACATTGTTCTCTATATTTCTTATGTTCTTCACTTGGGAAGAAAGTAAAATAAAAATGTTAACAAAATGTAAATTTAAAAATGTTATAGAGTCTGACGCGGGTTGCTGAAAAAACGTTTCCCTGAAACAATATTCAACGTTTTCAGAGGCAGAAGGTGACAGTATTGATGCCGTGTTGGATGAAGAGAAGGTGAAGGGTTATGAGTAAGCTGAGGCCCATCAATATCGATGGAATTGGCAGAGGTGACAGCATTGACGTCGTGTTGAATATCGAATATACCCACCAATATCGAACAAATTTTCTATCGTTATGCACTACTAAGGAAAAATTGGTTTATTTTGGCGAGGTTAGCTTAGGTTGCAAAGTTAATTTTATTTCATAATATACAAAATTAATTTCAATAAATCTAAAAAAAATGTTTATTGTGGGAATTTGGTTTATTCGGCAACCCTGGAAACACAAACCGAAACTGTCTCTATTTTCCGCTTGTTACAACTTGTAATAAAGTTGTTACATCTTTGCTTAACGTGTTTATGACGTATTAGAACGTTGTTACAACTTGCTATATTGGTTGTTATAACTGGTTAGAAGGTGTTAAAACTTGTTCGAACGTTGTACCAACGTCGTAGTTTCGGTGTGTGTTTGGCGGCAACACTTCAGGAAAAGCCCACCATGTATACTTCCGACTAAGAAATGTAAATTAGTGTTACATAAGAGTTCACCTAACTGAGGATCACAACTAGAAGACGTAACAGCACTCCAATTTTCCGAACCGTTCTGATTAATATTACATATTTGGCTCGTTTGGGAATTTATATATCAAAATGTGATATAGTACTATTTGAGGGTACTGGTAGTTCTGAACATTTAGTTATCTCATTGAATGATGGTAATTCATTTCTCTCTCTCGAGTCATTATTAACAGTTACGTTCATCTCCTCCTACAGGACCTTACAGCTGTAAATTCCATCTTCAATGCTTTGAAAAAAAAATTAATAAATATCTTTGAAATGAGAGAGGGTGTCATAGGACAGAATCTTCAATGTGGCGACACCTTTTTAGCGGAATTTCACAGGAGTAAGTAGTAGGAACTCTCCTCTCACTGATGCATTCTAATGATCTCGTAGAGTGAAATAAACGCCATCATTTCAACGCGTGCTCCAGGCTTGTGAAACTGGGGATAAACACTAATTACCAGAATTCACAGAAATAATTGGACAAATTGCTTGTTCCAAGACTTTGTCTTAGTGGAATTTAGTCTTTTTTAATACCATACAAAAAATAAAGCAGCGTCAACAGCAATAGCAACTGGCGGCAATAGGAATAGAATCAAGATTAACATATCATAATATCAGTATAAACAGCAGTATTACTAGCAACAGCAACATCAGCAGCAATAGCAGCAGCAGCAGCAGCAGTAACTGCAGCATTAATATGCACAACTGCAACAGCTGCGACACTAAGACTAGCAATAATAACAACCGTTGTTGAACGTGTGACTTGGACGATATAACAATAGGGTTATAGCTTGGTTAAGGTCCTACATTTAATCACTTGTCTTCTCATTAATATATTTTATTAATTTTTGAATAGAAACTGCTCTAATTTTGATTAATGTGCATGTATTCATTGTAGAATCTTGGACACCTGCCCGTTCCTATCCTGCAACTTTCCTTTCTATAACACGATATTCATGATTGTTAGTTTCAGAAATTACCTCATATGTAATCCACATCACTGCATATGTAACACGATGGACATATTCGGGTAGTAAATATATAAAGGTTTTATATATATATAAAATAATTGAAACCTTTTGTATTTGTCAACAACGTCTCTTCAAGTCTTTTAATATATTTGGATTCTATTCAAAAAGATTTTCCTTGGCTGCTCTCTGACCCATTTATGAATAGGTCTCTGAACTTCATTTCCAGAGTGGAAATGCTTTCTCATAAATTGCCTTTTTAATGTTTCAAATAGAGGAGAATAACTAGGAGCCAGGTTAGAAGAATAACGATTGTAATATTACTGCAAAATTCCAAATGTTTTTGTATTGTTGAACGTCGCAGAATTTCATGACGAGGTTTGAACTGTTCATAAGTTGTTCAGAAAGCAATCAAAAAGGTTCTTCTTACATGTAATCAAGGAATTAATTTCCCGAAGGAGGAATAGCGATTCCATCGGGAAATTGAAGGCACCAGATTGTTGACAAGAAGGTTTAATAACCTAGGTAATAAATTTCCCTTTTTTTAACTTTAGCAATTTTTGCAATCTCGTACTATTGCACCACTTAAATATCAATACATTTTTCATTGTAATTATTGTTTGCATGATATTCGATATTGATAATTGTGGGCAATTATTTTTAGAACACTGTAAAAGTGAGTGATTTTAATGTTAAAATAATTAAAAGAACGGGACAAACTATGAATATGTTGTGCATAGAATAATTTAACTTAAGGGATTTAATTTCCCTAATATGAATTTGAAAATAAATATCATCCTAAAACTACAGAAATATTTTCTAATGAACCTAGTGTCTTACAGATCAACTCCATATTAAATTAATTGAATCAGTAATACAATATAAATTAAAGTCATCAGTGTATTTAGATAATTCTACCCAAATATGCAATTCAATATTATGAACCAAACAAAACAGCCGTATTTGATTTAAGTTGAAAATATAAAAATTAGACAGTACACACTATATAATTCTTAATTTAGGAAATATATACTCAGAATAAATCATATATAACACACACTCTAAAAACTGGCATTACAACATAGGAGTAAAATAATTATCAGGAAAGAGTTAAGCCTGAATATTTGGACAAAGAGCCCGGATATGAGGACGGACTGTAAGGAACGGTGATCACCGACAGAACGTTGACCCTAACGGAAGCGAGGCCGTCGTTACTTACGAATCGTTAAATATATAGCGATAATAATTGCTTTGAATTATGTAATTCATATAATGAGGAGGGAAGAGGCACGACATGAATCCAATCAATAATGGTTAATTACCCTTTAGTTAATATCAGCATGTCCGACACATTATAATATTGTGGATAGCTGCCCGGAAGTCCTTGTTGAACACTGTGTAGATGACAGGGTTGAAGGCCGAGTTGACGTAGCTCAGCCATTGTATGAAGTCGAAAACTTTCATGTTGAGGTACTTGCAAGGTGAACAGAAGGGGAGAATGACGTACAGGATTAAAAATGGAAGCCAGCATATGACGAAGCTTCCCATTATGATGGTGAGAGTGCGTACGAGCCGTCGCTCCTGGGTCAGGGATATTCTCTGTCTGTTTGCAATGAATTTGGTGATGACGCTGCCGTCACTCTGTCGGTCCACACCGTCAACTGAACCAATAGTAGCCCCAGCATTGTAATGACCCGAGTGTTCCACGTCAGTGCTTGTCGTTTCTATGTCGGACTTCAAGCACGGCGTTACGCTTCTGTTGAGTGTTTGCTCTGATCTATTTTCGTCAGGATTTGCGAGTGTGATGGCTCTTAAATTTCGAGAAGCTTTAAGCTTTTTCAGCTTTGACTTCTGAGCTCGTTCATGGAGTCTTCTCTTGGTAGCCTTGTAAATCTTAACGTATATGATGATCATTAAGACCAGTGGACAGAAGAATGATCCAAGCGCAGAGTAGATAACATATCCTGCATTTTGAGGAAGATAACATTGCATTTCCTCACTAATCTCATCCGGCCAGTCATTCCAGCCTAGCAGAGGAGGGAAACTAATGACGAAGCTGATGGCCCACACTAAGCTAATCATGATCATCACTCGCTTTAAGGTCCTCTTCTGGGCGTAGTTGATGGGGTCGGTGATGGCCCAGTAGCGGTCGAGGGCGATGGCGCACAGGTTGAGGATCGACGCCGTGCAACACATGATGACACAGGTGAGATACATCTCACACATGTTCCTCCCAAATATCCATTTGGTGATGGTAATGTAGACGACGTTGAAGGGCATCACGAAGATTGCCACCGTCAGGTCGGCCACGGCCAGGGACACGATGAAGTAGTTCTGTACCTTCCTCAGCGGCCGGTGGGTGTAGACAGCCAAGATGACGAGGACGTTGCTGACGATAGTGAAGATGATGATGAGGGTCAGTGAGATCCCCGTCAACGCAATCTCCCACGTGGGCATCGGGGTGGGCATCTCCCACGTGGGCATCTCCCCTGTGGGCATCGGGGTGGGCGGGTATCTGAATATCTCATCATCATCAGTAGCGAAATTTGATTCAGACATTATTGTGTCGAGTCTTAAAAGCTTCAAATCTTCTGAAATCTTGCAAGATCTTGATTAATAAATCCTGATGTATTACTAATAAAATAAAACTTAAATCTATTATATGCTGCTAATTATACTGTCTTTGTTTAAGAAATCTCTGGAGAAATGTTTCTCCGTATCAAATTTTCTTAGCAAGATTTCTTATATTTTCGTCCCCAGAGAAGATCGCAGCATAAAGGGGGTATAGCGTTCTTTAAGGAGATCTCTAGTTGATGACTTTACTCATTTAGGTCACCGTATATAACTTCTCAGACGAGGTCGTCCTAATGGTCTTTAAAGTTTCAGTGAAGAAACGACGTCTTCCGCGGTCATCAGTCTGAAACATAAAATACCAAATTGGATACAATTTTAAGACACATGCTTCATCATTGGATGGTGAAGTGTTTCTTTATTTAAATCAGAAACACTTTTTAGAGAATATTTAGTGTTTATTCAGGATAGGATAACACACAATGTTGAATATTTTATTTCGCAAATTAAAGAAAATAGTGAAGTGAATAATTTTATGAGATGATCTTTACCAATTAGAGGCGAATGGTGTACACTTTTGACATGTATATCGTTCTTTTTATTTGTATAATATAATTATATAAATTATATTTTTGGCGTGTATATAATTACTTTTATTTCAAAGCATTTAACGCTCACATGGAATATTAACCTTCCATCATTTAACCTTCTCATAGAATGTTAAATGAGGGCTAGAATTTTAGCCCTCCAGCAATTATCCTTCACATGGAATATCAGGTACAGCTACAAATACCCTCAATCGAGCTGGAATAAATGGGAACACTCCATTAGAGCAGCAGGTCGATACTATGTCACTAGCAGGTCACCAAGAGGTCACCAGAAGGTCACCAGCAGGTCACGAGTCAACACTTCCGCCTTGATACATCATACAGAATGCACGGTCAGTGCGTGTCGTCCATACCACACTTCATACCACACTTCCCCTGGGGGTCAACACTAAGAAGTATTTAAAACTTAAGTCTTTCGAACTAGAATCCTTCAAATGGAATAACAGATATACCCAATAGCACGCGCTGTCACAATCAGAAATAACTACGGGCAGTCCACTAGCTCTAGTTGACCAGACCACACACTAGAAAGTGAAGGGACGACGAGTTTCGGTCCGTCCTGGACCATTCTCAAGTCGATTGAGAATGAATATGAATCGACTTGAGAATGGTCCAGGACGGACCGAAACGTTGTCGTCCCTGCACTTTCTAGTGTGTCTGGTCAACATATTTCAGCCACGTTATTGTGACTCATCATCTGCACCAGCTCTAGTATATGTGTTCATTTACAGGTTATTTTGTCCATGTGACTTTATTTCGTAGAGATCCAAGATACTTTGACCTCGTCTCTGGTGGCCGAGTGGACTGCCGGTCGGCCGAGCGGACAGCACTCTGGACTTGTGATCCTGTGGTCCGGGTTTGATCCCGGGCGCCGGCGAGAAACAATGGGCAGAGTTCCTTTCACCCTATGCCCCTGTTACCTAGCAGTAAAATAGGTACCTGGGTGTTAGTCAGCTGTCACGGGCTGCTTCCTGGGGGTGGAGGCCTGGTCAAGGTTCGGGCCGCGGGGATACTAAAGCCCCGAAATCATCTCAAGATAACCTCAAGATAACCTGGTGTTTATCCGATTCGTTGGGGATCACATCACGATCCTTCGTGGGGATGTCCATATGGATATCTCTTACCGTCTTGGGTGATTTCTAAGGCAAGTTACTCTTCTCCTCCTCGATAAGTCACCGTGCTGTTTCCTAGATCACCCAGTCATTTAAGACACCTTCTCAGTTCTGACGTCTTCTTCTTATTGAGTGGATCTTGATATCTTGCTGCCTGGAAACGAATTTATTTCACAAGAATGAAACTCAAATTGATCATATTCGAATCCTCGTTTTCATGGTTTACCAAGTAATTTGATTTCTGCAAGAAGGTTATGATTATACATTAACATTTTTATATCTAATACACACACACACACACACACACACACACACACACACACATAATATATACAATTTTCTGTTTAATTTATAATTTTCTACATATTAAGTACCCAAAAAGTGGGAAGTGTTGCAGGAGGTGTTGCAGGTGGTGTAGCCTGAGAGACGGTGTTGCAGGTGTAGCCTGAGAGACGGTGTTGCAGGTGGTGTAGCCTGAGAGACGGTGTTACAGGAGGTGTAGCCTGAGAGACGGTGTTACAGGAGGTGTAGCCTGAGAGACGGTGTTACAGGTGGTGTAGCCTGAGAGACGGTGTTGCAGGAGGTGTAGCCTGAGAGACGGTGTTGCAGGTGGTGTAGCCTGAGAGACGGTGTTGCAGGTGGTGTAGCCTGAGAGACGGTGTTGCAGGTGTAGCCTGAGAGACGGTGTTGCAGGTGGTGTAGCCTGAGAGATGGTGTTACAGGAGGTGTAGCGTGAGAGACGGTGTTACAGGTGGTGTAGCCTGAGAGACGGTGTTGCAGGTGGTGTATCCTGAGAGATGGTGTTACAGGAGGTGTAGCCTGAGAGACGGTGTTACAGGAGGTGTAGCCTGAGAGACGGTGTTGCAGGAGGTGTAGCCTGAGAGACGGTGTTGCAGGTGGTGTAGCCTGAGAGACGGTGTTGCAGGAGGTGTAGCCAGCGCGCAGGTGGTATTTCCTGCGAGTGTTGCCTGCCAGCAGGACAACCAACACTTCCACACGCTTCTCACAAATTACATTATCATACCCTGAAGCTTTTCCCTGGACATCAAGCCACTTCAGAGATAAGCTACGTTATTTGAAGCCAAATCATTCTGACATACTCATATTGTTCATGTACATCGAGCAATGTTAAAGGTTGACCAGACCACACACTAGAAGGTGAAGGGACGACGACGTTTCGGTCCGTCCTGGACCATTCTCGAATCGACTTGAGAATGGTCCAGGACGGACCGAAACGTCGTCGTCCCTTCACCTTCTAGTGTGTGGTCTGGTCAACTTACTTCAGCCACGTTATTGTGACTCATCGCCTGCAAATGTTAAAGGTGTCATGCAGGTAATAATTGTAATTTAGTAATAATTACTAAATTATCAGTAATTACCATTTAACAGGTTGGGATGATAACGAACGTTCGGAAGGTGACAGTCGGATGATGACAAACGTTCGGAAGGTGACAGTCGGATGATGACAAACGTTCGGAAGGTGATAGTCGGATGATGACAAACGTTCGGAAAGTGACAGTCGGATGATGATAAACGTTCGGAAGGTGACAGTCGGATGATGACAAACGTTCGGAAGGTGACAGTCGGATGATGACAAACGTTCGGAAGGTGACAGTCGGATGATGACAAACGTTCGGAAGGTGACAGTCGGATGATGACAAACGTTCGGAAGGTGACAGTCGGATGATAACGAACGTTCGGATAGTGACAGATAGTCGGATGTAGTAGTCTGGGTCATTATACAGACAGCCTCGTCCATGTGGATTAGCCTGCGTATGTGTATGTCGTCTGTGATTAGCTTGAGTATGCTTCACATACCCAAGCTAATCACAACCTTAACCTCCAATCCTAATACCAATCCCCAGCTATAACCCCCCAATCCCTACCCCATTTTTAACCAAGGCTCTCGCGTATCCATTCTTCTCCCTTGCAGTGGACAGCTCATAGCGGTGCAAGATGAATCTTGCAAGTGAGCATAGATTTATTACAAGAATGAATCATGTGAAGCATATATTTTTCACTCGCTCTATCCATATTTTATATATTAAAAAAACACTTCTTCAGAGGCATAACTAAAAATAAAAGATACCTTTAATGGCAATAGTGATATTATTATTTGTATTATGTCAATAGAAACCAGAATAATTGAAATAGGGAGAAGGAAAATATTAAAATTAATAGCTAATATATAACAGCAAATAAAGATATTTAATTTCTCTCTTATAATCTTTTTTCTTGTTTTTTTTTCCAAAATAACTTTTGAGAAAGACATCAAAATTTTTTCGATAATGAAGGAACACATGAAATATATACACTATATATATATATATATATATATATATATATATATATATATATATATATATATATATATATATATATATATATATCTGTGTGTGTTAGCCATCTTCAAGATGAAAAATATTCCGCCACTGATTTGAATAATATGCAAATACCAGACGTCATTTGCATTGCCGAAGGAAGGTGTTGGTTCACATGTATGATAACAAGGAAATATCTCGGTCATTAGATTCAAATTTTTCTGGTTTCCAGTCATGTAGTAAGCCTGATTCCTGCTTGATACTTGTCAATATCACTATCCAAGAAATATAGTTTCTTCAGAGAGAAACGAGTATCCTGCACTCTTGGATAAAATTATGAACAACATCCCCTTCTGGTTAAAATTACCAGCATCGGCTCACCTGGATAATGCCACCAACATCGGTCTTCTTGGATAAAGCGACCGACAACAATCATCTTGAATAAACCATCAACGTCGACCAACATTGCCACAATACAGGCGCAATTGTGACGATGCACGAGCTAACGATGACAATCCTAACCAGTCACCATAGTAAGATCACAAACATCCTGTCCTCTCACTAAACTGCAGTTTTTAACGAAATCTACCAAACTGTTGCAAGGTTCTAGCAATTTAAAAACAGTAACAATGACGATTTTTTAAGCATCGTCCTCGATTAGACTTAAGGGGAGTTACTTGGATTCGAACATTACTTGCGTTCGAATGTTACTTGCGTTCGGTCGTTTCGGGTTAGGCAAAACAATTTCAGCTTTTCCGGTGTGAAAGCTTCAGACCAGCGTGAGTGCAGAGCCATAATGGACGGACCACTAAGCTTAACTTCCCGCTGTTATTGTTTTACCATAACTATGTAATTTATGGCCTCCCCCACCCGTCAAATGCTCACCCTCCTCCTAATCCCCAGTCCCTCCCATCAACATCCTAATTCTTTCCCCCTTCCCACCCCCTCGCTTCTCCACCCCCAACTCACATTTCATCCCCCCCCCTCTCTTTCCAAACCCTTTGATAAAATTTTTTACATTTTCTAAAATATTTTCTTTCTATGCGGTTTTGACAAGCCTTAGATTGTTGCCTGGTAAAAATATGATTCACAGAGCAACATACCTGGTAGAAGCATGATTCACAGAGCAACATACCTGGTAGAAGCATGATTCACAGAGCAACATACCTGGTAGAAGCATGATTCACAGAGCAACATACCTGGTAGAAGCATGATTCACAGAGCAACATACCTGGTAGAAGCATGATTCACAGAGCAACATACCTGGTAGAAGCATGATTCACAGTGAAAAATACCTGGCAAAAG